TATCAAAAGCATACCCCAGCTGGATTAGTAGCCTCGTCATTTTGATGTTTCCATCACTAGCAGCGACCATTAAGGGCGTCTTGTAGTATTGGTCACGAATATCAACGTGATATCCACTGCGGATAGCTCCTATTATGGATTCTATACAGAGAAAGTTGAAAAAATGAAATGAAGGCGGCAAAAGACTTGTCGAATGTTATCACAGCGAGTGAGCGTACAGTAGCTGACCTATCTCATGAAATATTGATCAAAATGTTTAAATATGTTTACGATTAGAAAGTATTACCTAGCTAGGGTTATAATCTTGAGTATCCCGCAGCAACACGCTAAGATAATGTTCGCACGCCAGAATTGCGGGTTTTGAATGAGTTGCTTTTCGGACGCCTTCAAACAGAAGAGTGGAGAAAAAACGACTGCTTAGGTGGTATGCAGTTTTCCCACCGACCTTCAGTGCCCTCATAAATTTGAATACATTTTATAGAACATTCATTATCAGCTGGAAGGGCTATTTCCGGCCTATTAGCAGTCACCAGCCAATTATCCCCCAAACCTAGGGGTGGCAACCCCCGACGCTCGAACCGCGATCTTGTTAGTATTTCGTATATGTTAATTCTGTCTATAATGTGGTTGTCGTTGAGCGACTCTTGGTAGGACGCGAGAACGAGTTATAAGGCACAACGGAACGAGTGACTTCCGTTAGTGATCGGTGAGCGCCTACCTATATTAGTTTATAGAAAATTTACAAAAATATCCTCTTCTGTACTCATTTGACGGAAAATTACACTTTCTTTAAAGTTGAAGCATAGAGAAAGAGTACACTTCCAGGCAGAAATAGCTTTTAATCATGAGCGCCGTTACCGACAATATCCACTGCGTGGCCAACACTAAGGTGAGTGCGACTAACGCGTGACTTAGTTTATAGTGACAGTAGACTTGCGCAGTGGCGTAGATAAATGCATGATTTTCCTTGCATTAAGAAAGTACAACGTGCGGTTTTAAACTCTAAACGCAGGAACACCTAAAGGTTGGATTAAAAACCAGTCGGGAATTTTAAAAATTTTAAGCCGTAATAGATCCCTTCGTTAAGTATCCCGTTCCAAAAATATGTAATTTTCTACCAAATGAGTATAAAGTGAATACTTCACATGTTCTATAAAGGATATACCTGAATTTATAAGAACCTTGAAAATCAGCGGGAAAAATGCACATTGCATAAGTCTCCCTTTTAGCAAAGTTCGGGTTCTATAGACGCCCAAAAAGAAGCTCCTTCAGAGCCCAGCATCCTGAAATTGCTGAAATATCTTGAAATTATGATGTACCATAATTACTATTAGAAGGAGCCTAACAAACGGCTAGCATACAGGCAGCGAGCCACGCTTACGGTAGGCTAGCGATCGGCCTACATGCGGCGAACGTAGGCTGGCAGTCGTTTAAACAATAATTCAAAATTTAAGCTGTAGTTGGCGTTGAGTCACAAGCCAATCATAGCGCTATCCATGCCAGAACAGAAGCTGGTTGGTTCGAGGGAAATTGTTTTACACGTGCTTGTTGCCCTTAATATGTTCTACCAATTACGCTCAAAGACTTCTGTTTTTGCCCTCTTCTTGCCATGTCCTTTCTTGGGACCCAAATAACACGTAATAAGGCGGTGAAATCTCGGCTTTGGCTACCTTTACAACAATTATTGTTAAAAAACAGCCCAATTCGTGCTTTCTAATCGAAAACGTGTGTCAGAATTTGGGTAAACATGTCATGCGCTAGACCAGACACTGCATTTTACGACAGATTAATAATTATGGGGAGTTGGTCAGATTTGGATAGTTCAATTGACTCAATTGCGAAAATTAGCGGCATCGGTGGGATTTGAACGCACGCTACCAGCCAGCCAAAGGCCTAGAAATTTAGCTACGAAGGCACGCCGAAAGCCGTGAATTTAATCCCACTTGGGTCCCAGATTTATAATGAACTATATCGCTTCTTGGCTGAAGGTGTCATTTTCCTGAAAATATGAACTTGCTTGTTCGTAGGTGTGCACCGGTTCCTAGTGCCAACTTAGAGAAAAATTTTAAAAAAATATTTCATGTTACTTATGCGTGCCATCCTTAACTTAACAAAGGATAACTCCAACTTCTTTTTAACCTTCTTCATCAAATTTCATGCAAAAAGATAATCGAAATAATCAAAAAACGAATAAATCATATTTTTAAGATTTTAGTTCAGCTTTAATGAGCGCATGAAGCCGTCTCGAAACAAAGAACATGAGAAAAGGAATAAAAGACACGCTGGTATCCACTTTCGGGAATGGGAAGTTATTCCACATTTCCTCATACGAATTAACAGATATCCAGCCGTAAAATGCTCAGACTAAGAAATTCGAGATTTCAACAGTCAACGAGAATGTATTTTTCGCTTACTGAGATAATTTAACAAACAAAGGTCCCAGACATTCCAGAGTCTTTCAGGTGGTATACTTTTTTTACTGAAAATAATAAAGTATTGACACTCCTTGATGAAAGTTCACCGAACGCTTGCCTTGGGCCTCATTTCTCGGGCCCTGACAGCAGCCATAGCAGTTAGTATGTATTCTGGACAAAGACAAGGGAGACGGGAATGGCCATTCCTGGATTATTAGCCGTCGTCAGGTAGTCATACCCAGACCCAAGTGGTGTCCCACCCGAGCTTCGACCTCGCAACCTCTTTGATCGGAGTCAAACGCTCTAAACATTGATCCACGTGCTCGTTGTCTTGCCGGGCTACTTCGAGGGATATTGACACTCGTTGATGAACGTCCATCCGACCGCTAATGAAACTCATCTGTCCCACTCCGCCTGGGGTCTCGAAAGAGGCTCTGACAGCAGCCATAGCAGCTAGTAGTATAGGCAGAAAGTATTTCCGGCAAAGACAAGGGAGACTGGAATGGCCATTTCTGGTTTATTAGACATCGTCAGCCAGCCATGCCCAGACCCAAGTGGTGCAAACGGGTCAAGTGAAATCCGGTAGCAGTCGGTGAAAATTAATTAACGAGGGTGAATATCTACTCACCTAAACTGGCAAGACAATGAGCTCGTGGTTCAATAGTTAGGGCGTCAGCCTCTAATTAAACTTGGATTTGGGTACGGCTGAGGACGGCTAACGAACCAGAAGTAGCCATTCTAATCCCTCTTGCCTTTGCCTGCAATAATATCTGCCAATAAAGGATTTGTCGGCGAACACCTATATGCATGCAAACTTCTGCTTCAAAGACATTTTTTAAATATTCCCATTGTTAATTTGAAAAATCAGTTTCTGGCAAATATACCTTTTCAACAACTATTCATCAGGCCAAAAATGTACAAAACAATAAGAGTTTGAACGTGAATAAAAATCAATAACTATCTGACTTGGGCGCCGATTGGCCACTGCGGGCTGTCAGGCAGTTATTGATTTTTCTACACTTTCATACTTTGATTGTTTTGCAAATGTTTGGCCTGATGAAGAGTTGCTGAAAACATATGTTTGCCAGAAACTGGCTTTTAAAAATGACATTTTTGTTATAAATACTGACCAAAAATTTGCCAGTCGTGTATATTTACTCACTCGTATCTTCTTTGAGCACTGCATCGTGCATTAAAATGTACCGCTTTGGTTCTAACGTAGTATACCAGAGCGAATCGTTCTGAAACAGGTTTTCCGCCGGATGTTCCACGTCAAAACGTCCTATAATGGGAAAGTGTCACCAAAACACAATAAAGGTTATATCTATATAAAGTATCTTGAGTGGAAGTTCGTGTATCCCAGATAGGCATAAATAACTTACGTCGTTATGGGTTATTTGGCAGCATGCTTCCTTTGTAACAGACCAAATTTCAGGAAAACGGAACTCCTTATCATTGTGCGTGTAAACTGCGTAAGGGTAGGGCTTGTAAACCTCCGGCCTAGAGTTACATAGTCTGTCCTGGTTTGGTTTATTATTTCATAGTTATGAGAAGTAGTCGGCTGTGTTTTAACTAATACATCCAGATGAAGGCATGCCCTAAGTTGTTTTACTGTGGTTTGTTTATTCAAATTTCGGCGGGAGTTTCCTTGGTAGTGGTCTTGGATACAACAAGCCGTGGGTTGTTTTCATGCGGTAACTGTGAGAAGGGTTTTTTTTAAGTTGATAAAACTGATTTACCAAAGAAGGATTTTGTGA